CAATCTGAAGCAACACATACATGTTCAAACGAACAAACGGACGAGCCAAAGAGTGAGTGAGTGAGTGGTCGACTGAGCTCGGCCGAGTGCACACATCCACCGACCGACCAAGCATAGATAGGATGTGCTGTACTGTACTTGCCGGCCACTTCTGTATGTGTGTGTACATGTGTGTATATATGTGTGTATATGTGTGTGTATGTGTGTACGCACGTACGTTGGTGACTGTGAATTTCTTGGTGCCGTCCTTGGGCGTCAGGGCAATGCCTTGGACCGTGGAGGTGTCGAGAGTGAAAGGCAAGGTGACTCTCAGCTTCCCTGTGTCGGTCGGTTGAGAAGGTGGCCCCGGGACGTCTTCCGGGGGGGGTGGAGGACGGACTCCTTCCTTGAACACCAATCGCGAAGAGTACCGCTGGCCGCTCTCTATCCTGTTGTCCTGAAGCGAGATCGTCAGCCGCGACACACTCACCGAGAACTGCACTCATGAGCCACACACACACACAAAGAGACACGCATATGTACACGTAGACACAAGCACATGTACAGCCATACATACACACACAGCCAAACAATACAGTACAGACAGACAGACAGACAGACAGGCAAGAGCGTCCATCCGTGCTCTCTCTGCCTGTCGTCCCTATCTCAGCCAGCCAGGCAGGCATCGAGCCCCTATCGAGCCAGCAGGCTGGCCAGAATACGTAGACGTATACATACAGACACAGACATACCTTCTTGACTGTGAACGGCTGTTGCTTGCCGCCAATGGGTGTGAGGACAACGTCGTCGATGGTGTTGGGCTGCACTCCGGGCGCCAGAGGAACCTCAAGGGCGCCCTTTGTCGTGGACTCACCCTCGCCGCCCTCCATCTCCGCGGGAGGTTGTGCTGTGGGCGCTTGCGGGATGTATCCTTTCTTGAATACTGCTTTGACCCTATACTCCTGCTTCTCCTTGAGATCAGGATCAAAGATGAGCACACCATTTATCCCCGCTTCTGTCTTTTTCTGAAACTGAAACAATAGAATCGACAGTCGATTGCTCTCGTCTTCTACGCATAGTACCGTTTTGATTCTGAGCGTTTTTTCTGTCTTTTCTGCTCCCATCGACAGCACAATAAATTGATCGACTGCCTCAATGTCTATTCTTGGTGGGATCAAGACGGACAGCTCGCCCCCCACATCGCAGCGAAAAATGCCAATTCGTTCAAGGGGAGCCAATGAGGTGCCACGTTTCAAGATGATCTTCAGGGTGTATGTCTGCCCCTTTATTATGTTATTTGATGCCATCTGGGCAACGTGTACTCCCATTTTTGTCTTTATCTTGAACTGAGATACAACAACGGTGGCATGAGAATTTTCCTTGTCTGAATGCAACCTCTCCTTTCAGTCTATGTAGCTTACCATGGTGACTGAAAAGAGTAACCCAGCTTCTTTTTGGTTGTTTGGTACCAAAAACAACCTCTCGATTACATCTGGGGACACATCTGGCGGCAGCGGAATTACAATAACTCCATCTTGTTCAGCAGTCTCTTTGCCTCCTTTGTGTATCTTCAAAAGCTCAGAACCCTCTTTCAGTACGACCTTGATCCCATAGGTGACGTACTTCTTGATGCGTTCGTCTGAGATGGACACCTTGGTAATACTGTTCTCGTAAGTCACCTCAAACTGTCGACATGTAGACATAGACAAGAGCTGTTTGCAGCGATGTATAGCCAGCCTCATACTGTCCTCACCTTGTGTGCGTTGAACGCGCTTTCATTCGTCCTAGGAGTCAGCACAAACGTATGGATAGCCGGCATCGGTCGCTCCATCACGGTCGGGATCATTAGAAAGACCTCAAGCTTTCCACCTTCAGCTGCCCTTGCTTCAGGTCCGGAGAGTGTCGTCTTGTTTGGATGAACACCCGGTTTAAGCCTTGTTTCAGTCACATAGCTGTGGCCCGCCTTGATTTCTTGATCATATAGTGAGAAAGTGAGAAGGCCTTCGTCTTGCTGCCCTCTCTGGGTTGTCTTGTTGGTTTGCAGAAGGACCGCCACACTTCGTTGCGGACCGAAGGAAAATTGACAAGCGACAAATTCGGCACAGCAAGCCCTCTAGATGAAGAATGTGCTGCTTACCGTCTTGGACTCGAATCGGTTTCCTCGCTTCTCCGTATCTTTGAGTGCAAACGATGCAACGTCGTCCTTGTAGATGCCCTCAGGCAGACGCTCTTTAAGAGCGCCGTCCTTCTTTGCGGTATAGTTGCCGCATGCAATCCACACAGTCCCCTTTTCTGATAGTATAGACAGAGAAGAAGCGATGGTTTCAGCTTTGAATGCAATGCAAAGGCCTACTCTGATCCTCTATTGCCTCCAGCACTTCCTCTATTGTCTCAGTGATGTTCTTTGCTGCAGCAGCGACAGCAACAATAGCTCTCGTAAGCAGACGACATGCAATGTATTTTGGGTAACGGTGAGTGAAGAGATGTCTCACGGTCAAGTCCGCGTACAATGAAGCCAAACAGTGCACCGAAGAGGTGGAGCAGTTGTTGGACTAGCAAAGCTCTGGTCGAATACAGCGAAGAGTCGTACGTCTCCTGACAGCGTTCATACACGCACACAGACAGACAGACAGACACACACACACGTGTGACATTAGTTGTTGGTTTCACTTTAGTCACTTGTAGCAGGTGTCGCCTTAGCAGGGTCTGCTTGGAGCTGAAGCCAAGAAGCCGCCTTCTCACTTTCGCGAAGTCTGTGGAAAGGGTCTGGTTCATCCTCTGCACCCCACTTGCTCCTCCTTTCATAGGCTTGGAGCACTCTTTCCTGTTCCTCTGCTGTCGAAGAAGTGACGGAGGGTCCAGGAGAGCTGGGAGTAGGGTAGGGCGGATGTCCGCTAAGACACAGAGAAAGTGCCGGGCCCAAATTCCGAATATACTCGCCGGCAGGGCCCGGAAAGTCGCCAACCGAGGAAAACTCCACGGGATGGCCACTTTGGTCGATCGAAGAGAAGCTAATGAAGGGGCTTAGCTGGGTGAGGTTCATCTTGGTGTGGCGTGGGTTAATGCGCAGCGGCTTGCGGAGCTCGATAGCGTTGAAGCACATACCGTTAAGGCGGCACGTGTCTGATCGTGAGCGAGAGCAGGTGAAAGGCAACGTCTTGCTCCTGTGTGCAACTAGAGTACCTTTTGTCATGCCGAGAGCTCGAGCTCCTTGCGTCCCTGATTGGAAGCCAAGCAGAAACGGTCTCGTGTGTACTCGTAATATCCATCTTGTCTACCTTCAGAGAGATTTCTCCAGACAGCTAAAGGCAAGTAGTCAGGCGTCACTGATCCCGCCAGCATGTCGATGGCACGCTCCCAGCCGATCTGTACGCCTGCATCGCGATGCGGCTCGTGGACGAGTTGTGCAATCGTGCCAGACTCAGGTGGGATGCTCTCGCTGAGTCCGACTTCCGAGGTCGCGCTCTTTTTTGGACGAGTGACCATATAGATCAGGCCTCCGTGGGGACCGATTTGGCGAGCATACTGAGACTTCAGGAATTGATCGCCATGAAAGTGCACAAAAGGCCCATGTTCTCTAGAGGCAGGCACAGTGGACAGACACGATATCTGCAATACCTGGAATGGAAACTGTGTCTCCTTACTTGATCAAAGACGGACACACGTCTCCGTTCTTGTCGCACTCAACGGAGGCCTCAAGAGTGCCGAACCCACCGCAGCTCATCGAGCGCCATCGCTGAATGCGCGACACGCTGGGACCGACTGAGACGAGATCCATACTCGTCTCGTTAGCCACGTAAAGACCCATCAGATTCTTGATGCCCCACAGCGGCAGATGAAACAGAGGATTGTATTCATCTATAGACAAAAGAAGCAGGTACCATGCAATCAATCGCATTTGTACAATCGAAGGCTTGCCAACGTTCCTACCACTCGGCTGGCACTTTGGCATTTCGCCTCTCCAAGTTCCATCTTGTTGGCAGATAATCGTTGATTCCGTAGCCTTGAACATCCCCGAGCAGCACAGGGCTACTCGTGAGCCACTGGCAAAGCCTTCATCGCTGACGGGGCCCTCAACACGGTAAAAAAAGCCATTTTCAACCTCAGGCACAGGGCAAGCGGCTGAAACAATGCACATATCGGGGTGCTTGGCCGAGCATTTGAGCGTGTCGTGTCTCTCATTACGCAGGCACGTCGGTCGCAAGCCTTCCTCGTCTGGCTTCCATTTTCCCTTCGGGTCGGCGGTTGTGGAACCCGGGAGCTCATTGCAGGAATACATAGTGCCGCCCGTCTGAACCAGACACACAGATATGCCCCCATTCTCCATTCACCAAGCTGCGGACAATCTCTGCTTTACCAGGACGTATCCCGTCTTGCATTTCGGTACGACAATGTCGTGCAGTCGATAGCGATTTTGAGCCGGCTCTATCACCTCAACATTGGTCAAGTGCGGCACGCCTCCGCACGGACCTTTCGCCTTCTTCACGATATCCAAAACCTCTGCAAACGCAAAAGAGGACGCCAAACAATGCGCAAGCCAAGGATACACCTGCCCATGGAGTGTTGTCTTTCTTGACCGAATCTACCATGCGATTCCATTGACCGCTGTTCATATTTGAAGACGGACGGGTCGGGTGTCAGAGTTGCCCCCTCTCCTTCTCTGCCGACGCACGTGACGCGCCCGACGTGCTCGAATGGCGTCAACTTCCCGCGGTCACACCATGGAATGAGGATCGCCCCATCACCGACCGTGCTTCTTGCCGGCGCGACTGTTGCATTGTGAAATTCGTAGTGGCCCCTGAGTAGCCAGGGCACAACACATTCGAGCGGCGGGGCTGCAGAAAGCCAGAGTTGCAAAAAAAGCAAAGGTGTCCGAGTCTGCTCTTGATAGGCGCTTTGTCGTCCTTACACCAAACGCAAGCTGGCGTTTTGTCATCGTACGAGGTATCCTCTTGGCACTTGAGTATTCGTTTGCCGTAAAGGACATAATTAGGAGGACACTCAAGCACCACAGTCGTGTTGATTCGCATGCTCATGCCCTGCGCTACTCGCGGGGCGATGTATGGCTTGCCGAGGCCTGGGTCGACTGGGTTGGCCGGAGGAGCACACTTTCCAGTCAGCGACACTGCATATGAGGGGCACAGACGGACAAATGTGCAAACGGCACGCTCAGCGCAGGGCAATCCGCTTCTCTGTCCTGTTGCCGTACCGCATGATGGTACGTATGCCTGTTGTCCATTCAGGTCGACAAAGTAGTGGTTTGGCCCCTCTGTGGTAGTACTTACGCCCATACCCGAGTACAGGCCCATAAGTACGTCAAGCAGCCCCTTCATGGTCTCCTGTTCCTCGCTCTTGGGTGGCGCGACGCCAATGCAAGTCAACACCGCCGACAGATGAGGCTCCACTTTGAGACCGCCAGGACATTGCAGATAGACTTTGGTGCCTGTGACCACGGGCCGATGAGCGACGCGGAATGTCATGTGTTTGGTGCTTTCGATCTCGTCCATTGGACAGATCCCTGGTAGAGACGCAGACGACCCAGCCAGTGGCGTGAGCTAATGTGTGTTGACCTGTCTTTTACCTTTGCACACTGGGAATTTGCCTCGAAATGTTCCGGTGTCTCCCGAGCACGATATCTTTTTGTCACCTACAAGCGCTGTATTGTTCGGACACTCGAACTGAATCTCATCCCCTGGCTCGAAGAAGGGGTCTGAAAAGATGAGGCGAGGGATGCTCTCGCCCACGCTGACGTAAGGGTACTCAGGCATGCGACACGGCTTCTGGACAACTGCAGATAAGATAGAGGGCCGAACATGGACGAGGGAGGCATGTATCACAAGAAATATAAACTACTGGCGCCTCGCAGGCTTACTTATGCATGACGGGACCTCTTTTTGTGTGGGATAGAACTGCCACCGGCCATCCTCACGGCAGAGCGTCCGATCCGGTGCACCTACATACACGACAAATGGCACGGATGTATGCTATGTAATCTGTGGTCCTATCACCTTTCGGCCATGAGGTGCCTGGCGCTGTACATCGGAATGTTGCCTGCGACCCTGATGTGATGCCGTCGTAGTCGACCGTGCCATTGACGGGGACAGGAGGTGGGCCGCAACTGACTGCATATACATATGATGAGCAGGAGCAGAAACACAACAAAGGAGGAGAATATCAATCAAGACAGCCATCGATCGACTGCTCCAGTGTCTCGATCGATTTTTGTCACCTGTCCTCAGGAGCGTGAAGGGATCTCCTGGCTTCTCGTGAAAGGTCTTTCCAATGCGCTGTATATCGTCATCGGTGAGCGCACGCTGGTACATGAGAATTGTCCGGATTCTGGTCTCCCGCAAGCAGTGTGCCGCCTGGCTGCCCTCGAGCATGTGTGTCTCAGGTCTGTTGTCGTCACTCGAGGCTGCGGGAGGCTTGACGCGACACCCAAGATCCAGAAAGCCACGCTCAACGGCCGTCGGGTTTACCCAGTCTGAATCTTTGGGCCTTGTGAGCAACAACTTCCCGTTTCTGTCAAGCAGGGAGAAACAAGTGGGCAAACGTGGAGGGATGGACGACGGATGACGCTATCGCCTGCTCACTTGAATATCTGCGTTTTGAAGTCGCGTCGTCGGATGGCCCATACCTCCCACTCATTTAGAATGGGTTGATTTGTGGCCTCGTGGCGGACCATTCCAAGCCGGGGGAGTTCCTTTGGTGGCGGTCCACCCACTGTGTCATACCCCATAGTCTCGAGCAGAGCCTGCTCAGGGTTATCAGCCGCCTCTTGTAGCGAAACGACATTTGCGAAACTCTCGGCTGCGAGTGCTGGGTTGGGGGAGCCCTGCGCGATCTCCAACCGGCCACTAAGGAAGGTGCACAAAGCAGAGCAGACGACAAGCAGCGGTTCTTTCGACAATTGTGTGTGCACCCATTTATGAGCCTACATACATTGGGCTTTCGGGCTCTACGGTGAGCTGAATCTCCCAGTTTGCTTTGAATTCACCTCCAGTCCAGCTCAGCAGGACTTGCGTGAGATGTGGTGCCGATGCAACAGCCTCTTCGTCTTCTTCTCCAGGCTGTGTCGCGTTCATCCGCGGCGGCCACTTCACATGGAGAATGATAGTTATATCGCCTCTCGCAAACAAACGGTAGAGCAAATGGCTTGTCATCCATGAATCCTCTTTGAAATATATGGAGTTGGTCGATCTGAGCAGACGGACGGAGCCATGCAGTGCAGTGTTCGGACTTTGTTTGAATGTGTGGACTCTCTTTTGGCCTTCTTTGCTTGCCTATCGTAGAAGGGCGCATTTTTAGAGTACGGCTGACTGAAGTCGCCAAACCATCTCCTGCAATCTGATCCCCTCAAGTCGCTCCAAGAAGTGACTCGCTCGCCAAAGGGCCACTTGGCGGTTGAGACGGAAAAATGATACGCTGAGTAAGCGCCAACCAGCCCCTCGCATGGAATTGTCAGGTGCTGGGGGCATAAATCGCCTATGGCGCGGTCAACGGAAGAAGGGAGAGGCAAAAGACGTGTTTGACAGCAAGACACGAAGTGAGCAGCAGCGTGAGAGACCTACTCTTGGGTGCAATCCAATCGAATTGCCCAATTGCCTGCAGCAGGCGATACCCATCAGTCAAAGCAGCTGCCTGCTTTCCGCCCTCGTTTTTTGTCATCTCACCAGCCACGACACCGATTCTCTTGTATGCCACATTTCCCTACATCCACGCAAAACAAGAGGAAAAGACATCTTGGCGGAAAGTCTTTCTCTTCTATATCCAAGCGTATATTGCCATCTACCGATCACTGCATCTTTCTTCTTGAACGAAGATCCTGTGTGTCAGAAAACGAGAAGCACATGTCAATCAATATGGACTTCTCTGGAGTTGTGCATATTCACTGACCGAGCATAATCACTGCCTCTGTTCTTGATGCGGAGCTCTGGTGGTCACAAGAAGGTAACAAGGAAAACGGATGCCTCAGGATGTATGCCTCAGTCGTACAGAGGGAGGACATGACTTAAATTGTCTGCTTACGGCATGCATCTCCTCCTCTGAATGTTATGATGCTCATGAAGACCCTGTTGTTAGCGATGTTGCCACCATATGAAATCCGGTACAGCCTGTGGTTCACACGGACGCCCTGCCAGACAGAGCGAGACATATAGATATTTAGATACGCGTCGCTCCTACTGACACTGTCTTTGCAGGGCACGTACCGTGTATCCTCCATTTATGGGCACGCTGTCTGTGGGCGTAAGCAGCTGCGATTTGATGGGCTGGGAGAAAGCTACCCAGCCAAGAACTGGACGAGAGCGCGAGAAGCTACTTGCAAATGCAATGCAGTTCTTGCCCTTTCCTTTTCCTGCCTTCATTGAACTCGCGCATATCACGACGGTCTCTAAACCCGGAACCCATGGTCTCGAGAGCGACCTGACAAATAAATGAGGCGGGAAAGAAGACAAGTAATGAATCCACACTGTCCGTCCGACGCCAAGGCCGCATTCAAATTACAGACATGGAAGCCTCTTGTGCCGATGCGATGCTTCTCGCTGACGCGAGGGTGCACGAAACGTCGACCGCTATTATCTGTTTGGACCTGCAATTAGACAAGAGGCACAGGACGAAGAGGCATGATGGATCCACTAGATTTTGGCCTGACTGACTTGCACGACAACGATTGGCGGCTCAGTGAATGCTGCTTCAATGGGAAATGTCACATACGTCCACTTCCGATTGCCCGCAAGCACCTTTCCAGCTTGATCAACCACAGAGAGAAAGCCAAAGAGAGAGCTGTCTTATCGATCCTGTCTTATGTTTGTCAGTTCTACCTGCAACTGTTATTCCCTCGGGGAGAGTCGGCATTGTTGTGGCAAGGTGTCTGTGCACGCCACTCTCAACGACCTGGCAAAACGGAAAACGGTAGAGTGCAGAAGCAGAAGCAAGCTCTGTGAGTGATTCCATGCTCGAGCAAGCCTCTCACCAGCCAGTCGATCGGCGTTCGGATGTGCCACTGGTCCCTGGAAACACACGAAGGAAGCGTGAGGAAGACACGCGCTACAGCCCAGATGAGACAACCGTATTCGTGCAACGTCGACGCACCTGCAGGGGAATGGCTCGTCCAATCTCATCTCGAAAGCGCCTGGATAGGACGGCAGACACATATGTTGAGAGTGACTGCAACTCACATGGCTCACCTGATCTGACGTTCTGCAATCGGACAACGGCCTCTTGGCCTCCACGCATGTCGGGGACACCTCCAATAACGACCTTCCAAATACAGAGGAAAGACACTTCAAAACACCGCCATGTGTCGTCGGATCATTCGTGTGCCTACCGGATCACTAAAGTAGCTGTTGGTCTTGACCGTCAGCCAATTTCTGGTATGTGTCACCATTCTGCCGACCTCTATCGGAAACTGAACACCGGATGCTGCATGCATGACCGTGGAGACACATACGCACAGAGCCTTCACTCATTGCTATGTCAGCTTTAGTACCGTCCCAACAGGCGGTCCTCGTGGGCTTCCATTTCTCAAGCTCCTTGAAGGCGTAAGGGGCCTCGGTGCGCGCACGAACCTCAGGCGGAAGGATCTCGAGCTTGACGCTGACTCGCCCGCTAGGAAGCTTGTCATTGGGCTGGACCACCAGGCCATCAGGGGTCACCTTGAACTGAGCAAGCGACGGACAGACAGATACACAATGACCGAGTGAATGGATGAACGAATAACGTCGTGAAAGATGCGATCAAGACCAGTCTTGACTTATGCACTCGCTTGTTGTGTACCTACCTCGGCTGGCGGCCTCAGCACGTACGTGTCTCCAGTCTCAATATCGGTCAAGAGAATGCCCGTGATATGTTCTGGCGGAATGTCCTTCAGGTGGGCGGGCAGCGGAAGTGTCACGGCAGTGTACTTGCTGAGGAGGTGGTCGCCCATATCTGAATAATTCATTCGCAGGCAGATTGACGATTGAGTGAATGTGGTCACGACACATGTGGATTGATCGAATATGGCCTTGTATGTGTACCTTCTTCCCTCGGGCCTTGTGGCGGCGGCTGCGTGCCTGCCTCTGCAGTTTTGGGAGGCTTCACCTCCACCTTGACGTCGTAGTCTCCGCTTGGGACCTTGTCATTTGGCTTGATGACGATTTTTCCATCTTCGGTCACCTCCACCTGCACGCCGGGCCAACGTGTGTGTGACACTGCGTGTCGATATGTCTTGCTGCTTTCTGTTTCTTGTTCCTCCATACTTCATCAGGCGGTGTCAGTGTTATCTTGTTGCCTTGATCGTCCTCCAAGGTCACCCCCGTGAAGTCCTCTGGCGGCCTGCCAGTGAGCTCTGGCGGCAAGGGCACTTCAGCGGGCTTTGTGTTGTCCACCGGGTGGCGGCCAAGGTCTTCCTCGCTGGGAGGTGGCGCTGCCGGCGGCGGCTGTGCGCCTGCCTCTGTGGGCTTGGGAGGTTTCACCCCCATTTTGACGTCGTAGTCTCCGCTTGGGACCTTGTCATTTGCCTTGATGACGATTTTTCCATCTTCGGTCACCTCCACCTGCACGCCGGGCCAACGTGTGTGTGACACTGCGTGTCGATATGTCTTGCTGCTTTCTGTTTCTTGTTCCTCCATACTTCATCAGGCGGTGTCAGTGTTATCTTGTTGCCTTGATCGTCCTCCAAAGTCACCCCCGTGAAGTCCTCTGGCGGCCTGCCAGTGAGCTCTGGCGGCAAGGGCACTTCAGCGGGCTTTGTGTTGTCCACCGGGTGACGGCCGAGGTCTTCTTCTTTAGGAGGTGGCGCTGCTGGCTTTGGCCTCAGACCGACCTTTACATCGTAATCGCCCTTCGGCACATTGTCGTTCGGTTTTATCAAGACCTCTCCTTCGTCCGTCACCTCAAACTGCATGTATGCAGTTACACATAGATACACATGCACGGCCAGGAAGAGAAAATGTTTTGGGATCGACTTGCTCTGTTACTTTGCGGCTTACGTCGTCAGGGGACAGCGTTATCTTGTTGCCGTCTTTGTCCTCGAGCGTCACCTCGGTCACGTCTTCTGGTCTGGTGTCCTTCAGCTCAGGTGGCAGTGGGACTTTTGATGGCTTGTCGGCCTCCAAGGGATGCTTCCCGAGACCTGTAAGCAGGAGACCGATAGGCGGACAGACAGACGCACCGAACAAAGGCATCCGTCAGTCAATCCCTGGCCTGTCTGTGCACACCATACATCGGAGCCGGCTTGCTTACTCTCTTCTCTTGGTGGTCCTCGCGCGGCCTCCTCCGGCGGCTTGACCTCGACGGCCACATCATAGTCTCCTCCAGGCAGACGGTCGTTGGGCTGGCTGATCACCAGCTGCCCCTCGTCATTGACCGTGAACTCATCGGGCGGCCGCAGGACGGTTGTCTGGCCCGTTTCTTTGTCTGTCATGACGACGCCCGTCACGTCTTCCTTCGATTTGGCCTTCAAGTTGGGCGGGAGCTCGATGTTTGTCGGCTTGTCGTCAGCTATCTTCTTCTCTCCCAGATCTGCACCACCACCGCACACAACCGCCGTGCTGTGGTTGTGTGCGTGGGATTCATTGCAGCGCCTGGGTTAGCTTGCTGTTGGTTGGCTTGCCTTGTGTTATCGGTGGCTGTGTGGTCGTCTCTGGCTGTGGCGCTCTCGTGGGCGGCGGCTGTGTGGTCGTCACGAGCACCCAGTCCCGCAGGTCATAGGGCCGCATCTCGTGGCTCTCCGCCTCCGTTTCCACAAACGACACTGCATGATCGAGAGGAGAAATCACACAATTGAAGGGCGGCGACAATCCTCATTCCTCGCCCCGGAGGTACCTTCGCCATGGCTATGGAACGGCGCAGGGTGTGCTGGTGCCTGAGGGAACATACAGAAGCGCATCGTGCGGCCGTGCGCCAATGGATCTCCTCCCATTTACCCTGTTGCCGGCGAAGAAAGACCACCAGGAAGCATCGACGCTTCCGACGCACAGGAATGTGAGGATTGTTGCTGCGATGAGCGAGGGGCGCCAACGCGCATTGCAAAAACTCTCCATTGTTGCGATGGAAACTCCGGAGGGCACTGCCCTCACAGAGCGGTGCGATAATCTGCAGGGCATTGCGCCACTGCAATGCGATGAAGAACTGCACGCGTCAGTCTCCTATTGGACTTTGAAATACTGAAGACAAAAAAGGTCAGGCTGGGGGCGCAGTGGGGGCGAGATCTGAAATGAGCTCGCAGACCTTAGTTCCCCCTCTCTCTTTCCCTTCTCAGCAGAATGCTGTGAACCTGAGCCTCGTTCCAGTATGCTTTTCGTCGCCGCCGTCAGCATGAGTCTCTTCATTGCTTCCGGTGCGAGCGTGCTGACTCACCACTTCCCAAATGCCGTAGCGGCGTTCCTAGAGGCGCCAGCGTCCAACGCTCTCCTCAGGTGTTGAATGGGTGTCACAGATCTACGCCCTCTGGATGCATGCTTCGTATGCTTGGTTCCTTCTCCTTTTGGTGTGTATGTATGTGCTGCAGGCACTGTCCGTCTTCTTCGCTGCTTCGTGTCCGTCGGCACCGCGATGCCCTTCGTGCTACAAACGGCACTGGTCAGTCACAGCACACGACACACACGACACACAAGCTGACAGCCGACACACGAACATCCTCGACTATCCATTTACGTGTGCGCGTGCGTTGCAGACGCCGTCCTGGCCCCTCCCTCTGACACAGACACCGACACGCCCACGTCCGTCGACATCGACGCCACCCTGACAGGCCTCAAGACGTCCCTTCGACGATACGGAGGCGAGATCATCCAACCCAACACACCCGGCGTCATCCAGGCGTATGACGACAAAGGCAATGATGATGGTGCTGGTGGGCGTGAGGAAGAGCAGCCGTTCGATGAGGACGGCTTGCGTGAGGAGGTGCTGGGTGCGTCTGGCGGCCTGTCGCTGACCGATGTGGCGAGGGAGCGGAGGGGGGTGAATGAGGCTCCCGCTGGGGCTGCTGGTGGGGGAGGGCCTGCAGGCAACGACACTGCTGCTGGAGGTGAGGAGTACCTCTCGCCCATGGGGCTGGACTGGGAGAGGGCATTTAGTCTCGTCGACGAACAACAAGGTAGGTGAGTCACTCGAGGGCATGACCGTTCGTTCGTTCTGCTTGGCGTGTGTGTTAAGCCGTTGCTCATTTCGGCGTGTGTGTGGCAGAGATCGACCCGATGCTCGTTGCCTTCAACGCGGCGCTGAGTGCGTTCGATCGGCAGGGTCGGGGCAAAGAGGCCATGGAGGCCGTCAAGGTACGTCAACCAGCCACGCACACACACACACACAGTGTGATGATTCGTGTGTGTCTGTGTGTGTGTCTGTGTGATTGGTTCGTTCAGGAGATGTGGTCAGTGGGTGTGAAGCCTGACATGGTGACCTACACGGCAGCCATGTCGGCGTGCTGCAAGGCACACATGCCACAAGAGGTAGGTACAGCTTCATGGCCGCCTGAATGACCATCGCTCGTTCGTATGCGTGTGTGCGTGTGTGTGTGTGTGTGTGTGAGTTCAGGTGAAGCAGCTGCAGGAGTGGATGAGTGCTCAGGCGCTGAAGCCCGACGTGGTCATCTACAACATCATGCTCGAGTCGGCCACACACGGTGTGCACAAGTGCGATGGATGGATGCCATCGCCCGACGAATGTGTGTGAGCTGTGCCGCGAGTCTGGGTGGTGTGTGTCTGTGTGTGCAGACAATGACTGGGTGGGTGCGGCGAGCCTCTACGAGGAGATGAAGAAAGACCCCACGCTTGAGCCGACTGAACTCTCATACCTGCACATACTCACGTACACCCACACACAGAGAGGGAGAGGGGGAGGGGGAGGGAGAGAGCAACAACATGGCCTTGTTTCTCTGCGCTGTGTGGTGTGGTGTGATGTGATGCCTGCAGTGTGATGGACAGGGCAGAGCGGCCTGATCTCGCAATCCAGTACCTCACAGACTACCAAGCCGCTTTCCACAGGTAGGTAGGTACCTTCACAGCCACACACACACACACACACACACACGTGTGCGCTGATCTCTGCACACCCAATTGCGTCATGTTTTACTGTCATTGCAGGATGACCCCCGCCGTGCTGAATGCGGTGCTCAGCTCGCTGGCCAAGTCGGGGTGGCTGACGGAAGCTATGGATATTTGGCAGAGGGTGGTGGGGGGCGACGGTGAGACGGCAGATGCCACCACTTACAGGCTCATGCTCATGTAAGGAGAGAGGGTGGCTGAGAGCACACCGTGCTCTCATCTCTGTCTGTCTGTCTGCCTCTTTCTAGTGCGTGTGTCAACGCCCGGTCGCCTGACATGGCCGAGGAGATCTGGGAAGGCTTCCAAACGAGCCAGGTGAGCTCACCACACATGTGCACCACCCATCCCCTTGTCTGTGGCTGGATGGATGTATGGGTCAGCATTGGGCCCAGCGCGACGCATCCCATTTTCTCTACGCCCTGCGGGCCGCCGCGATCGGGGGAGACTTCGAGAGGGTGAGTGAGTGGAGGGAGGGTGACCACACAGCACAACACACCTCCACACCCCACGGTGCGTGTGTGCGGCGTGTGCAGGCGTATGAGCTTATGTCAGGCATGCAAGACCACGGCCTGCAGGCGGCCATCTCCCATTTCGAAGCCCTCATACAAGGCAACGCCCACACCACAGCCCACACACTCCACTTGACACCGCACCCATTCTCATTCTCTCTCTGTCTGTGGATGCTGCAGCGTGTCGAGAGGCGGGGGAGTGGCGGGGCGCATTGCAGGCCCTCCGGCGGCTGTCGGCCGCCCGCATGCCGCCCACCCCCGCCATGTATGAGGACGTCATGGCGGCGTGTGCACGAGTTGGTGACTGGGAGCCCCTCCTGGGCATCTTCTCGGAGATGACCAAATCGTCCGGCCTCTCGCCCACGCCACTCACCGTCCACTATGCCCTTGACGCCTGTTTTCGGCTCGACTAGTGTGTATGCCACACACAACGTTGCCTCTTCATATGTTCTGTGGAGGCGTTTGTTATTGTGTGTGTGTGTGTGTGTGTGTGTCAGTGCGCGTGATGCAGGTCAGCTGGTGCAGACGGCCCACGAGAGGCGGCTGACTCTGCTGCCGTCCACCCTGACGCTCATCGACAAGTGGCGGGAGCGCTCGCCCGACGTCCTGAGCGACGACATCATGCCCCCTCAGTTGCTCGAGGCACAGAGGAGGAGGCGTATCGGTGGTGGGGGTGCCGGCCCTCAGCCCATGCCCCCATCTCCATCACCCTCACAGCCGGAGCCTGCGGCAAGATCCACCCCACCCGAAATGACGCAGGGTGATCGTCGTGACGAGAGAGGTCCTCCACGACAGCCGGAGAGGCCGCAAATGAGGCCTGCGGCACCGCCACAACCACCCCCACCCCGACCATCAAGACTCCCCCCTCCTGCTGCTGCCCCCCTTATCCGCCCTACAATGTCGCTCCCCTCCCCACCACCCCAGCCGATGCCCGGGATAGAGCGGCGGACAGAGGAGCCACCGGCGACTACACCTGGTGTTAGTGAAGGCGAAGGCGGTGATGCGTTGACCGAGCTGGAGAGGATGCTGGCGAGAGCCAAGATGGGACAGCCTCTCGGACCGATGTCTGCTCCACCATCGGGTGACGACAAGAGTGCTCCTAGTGGTGGTGGCGGCGGTGCAGATGAGTGGGAGAGGCAATTGGATGATTTGGTGGCCCAGGCCGCCCAGGAGACAAGGAACGAGATGTTGCGGCAGAAAGAGGAGGCTAGAAAAGGGTCAGGGGAGGAGCCGCCCTCACCCCCACCACAACCACCACCAGCAGCAGTGCCTGATGGGGCGATGGACGTGCACCGCGACCCGGCTGCCAGGCTTCGCTTCCCGAGACTCGGTTAGGGTGGGTGGTTGGGTGTTTATATTGCATAGGTTTGTGCGTGTTTGTGTGTGGGTGTGGTGTGATGTGATCTGATGAACGATACTCTTTGCACAATGGACCTCTGAATAAAAAGCACGAGCACAGCACACACACCCGTCTGGCGTCGCAGTGCCTGCCTTTGCAGCTCACACGACCGGCCGGCCGGCCGGCCGGCCAGCAGGTGATGCGTGCAGGCAGGTGTCTATTCGTCAATAGCCTGCCTAACCTGCCTACACACACACACACAGCCCTCTCTCCCCCACTCTCTCTCCTTACACCATTCACTGCTTCCGTGCTTGCTGCGTCATATATCTCTCTCTCTGTCTGCCGTTGTGGGGCTTCTCTGTTGGCCGCCGCAACATGGGACGCACGAGAGCGTTCAAGCCCCGAATGTCAAGAGTTGCAGCAGCAAGCCGAAGCGATCATAACTGCAGTCAGTGTGGCAGCACTGCCACACGAGAAGCAAGCCTTATCTCGTTCTGTCTGTTTCCTCCCTCCTGTCTCTCTTGTCCTGTCTTTGGTGCTGCATTCGTTGCATTGGCCTGGATATGGCGTCATGGTGACTCGGTCTCGCGCCCATGACGTGCAACGGACGAGCGCATTTAAACCTCGCCCGTGGGACGTCATCTGCTAAGAGACCAAGTCAGCAGAACGACCACGAGATCCAGGAAGCAGCCCGGCCACAATCGAAAAGAACGGCAAAATAGTGCCACGGTTGACACGACAGACGGATGGATGGATAAAAGACCCACACACACACGCCCCTCTCTCTCGTGCGTCGGTCTTTCTTACGTACGCAGCCACACACTTACACACAGAAAGACAGACAGACAGTATAGCCCCACAATGCATTCAATGCCGGCACACACGCAGAGCAGACAGAGACCCAACTGACTGACTGACTTGAATTACCTGCCTACCTATCCCCCAACCACCCCTCGCCACGACAGCCAGCCACAACAGACCAGCCACAATAGCCAGCCAGCCACAGCAGCCCAGCCACACCAGGCAGGCCATGTACACCAGTTATCAATAAAGCTTCAGCGACAGCGTCATCACAGCCTACACCACATCACACAACACAACACAACACACAAACAACACATTTCCCGCCCATCCGCCACCCCGTGTGTCTGAGTGAGTGAGTGAGTGGATCTCCCCGCCACCTACCGTCAGGTGTCCCAGTTCCTCAGCGGACACCTCGTGCTTCCCATTGGGCACCACGTCGAAGGTCGCGTTGATGCCCCGCTGCCCCAGCATCTTCTTGAGCTTCTCGCCACACCCGGGAGGCGCCACCGTGTCGTTGGAGCCGTGCAGCAAAAACAGCTTCGAAAACTTGGCTGAGGGCGAGGTGGCCTTCTCGGCGAGAATGTCCAGAACCTTGCCGGGCAGCACCTGCATCCCGAAGCAGCACACACCGCCAATCGCCACCTGCAGGAACACACAAAGGAAGAAGACACACTCAGGGGTGGCTGGGGTGGCTGGTGGAGATGGTTGTGGGTGTGGGTGCGGTTAAAGAAATACATCGAGTTGGGTGAGTGCGGTGAAAAGGGCGATGAGCGCGCCCTGGCCGACGCCGCCGAGCATGAGCTTCTCGGGTTCCTGTCGGTTCTCGCGCAGCTCACGCTTGATCAGCTGCGCCACCAACGCACAACTCTCCTCGATCTCACCTACAGGCAGACACACAGACACACACACAAGAGGTATATGTGTGTGTGTGTGTCTGTGTGTGTGTGTCTGTGTGTATACCGAGCGCCTGGAGCTCTTCGAGTTTGAGTTTCTCGTCGAGTGACCCGCCGGATCCGCCGCTATTGGACTTGGCCGCGGTGGTGTCGAAGAGGAAGTCGCCACACCACCAGCTCGGGTCCTCCTGCACACACATCATGCACACCGTAGTGGCAGGACCTGCCTGTTGTGTGCGTGCGTGTGCGTTGCGTGTGCTGCCTGCGGTGGGGTGACGGTGGGTGGCGCACATACGTCAGTTCCGACTGTCTTGGGTGCTGACGGGATGACCACCTTGACGTGCTCCAACACCTCATCCCTTCACACACACACACACACAGGGAGTGGAGTGGTGGTTTCGTGTGTGGTGCTGTGCTCACGAGTCGGCTCGGCTCGCTTACTTGCTGAAGGACCGCTTGAAGAGCGAGAGGTACTCGTCGGGGATCTGGCCGAAGTCGTGCAGCCACACCAAGGTGGCCTTCTCGTCGCCCGCTGACTCACACTCGACAATGTGCAGACCTGCACACACACACAGAGAGAGAGAGAGAGAGAGACAAGGCACACATCATGCGTGTCTTGCCTCTGAGATGAGAGTGTGTGTGTGCGTCCTTCCTGACCTTCGAGAGTCTTCTTGATCTGCGTCTCGGGGATGTTCTGTGCAAACAGGGACTCCTCCAGCTCCCTGCATCCACACACAAACCAGCACACAAACACGTCCATCCCTCCATCCATCCATCCACTCATGCCGCGCCGCGCTCACTTGCTCTTGATGGCCTTGTTCTTCTCCTCGGCGGCCTTGGCCTGCAGGCCGGCTTCCTCCTCCTGGATGGTCGGCACAGCCAGCAACGGCTTGGCGATCCGGCCCTTCTCCGTCAAAAACTTCATAGCAGACTGCACACACACACACACACGCAGGTGGACAGATGCACACAGCAGAGAGTGCGGTGGGGTGGGGGTGGGATGGCTGGCTGACCGTGATATCGGTGAGGGGGAACTCTCGTGTCTGGATGGCGAGCTTCTTGTTGTCGATGAGCTTGGCGAAGGACTCCAGGTTCTCAACCATTCTAGATAGAAGCAGACACCACACCACACCCAACACCACACACACGTGTCGTGTCGTCATCCAGCCGCCAGTCACTCTCTCTCTCAGACGGAGGGGACAGACAGACTGACAGACTGACTTGGTTTGGTTCCTGCCGGACTCCAGCCATCGATTGAGGTAGAAGCTCTCAACCTTGATCTCAGAACTGCAGTCAGTCAGGCACCGTCCCACGTGTGTGAGTGACATTCATTATCTATCTCTCATATGTGTCGGTAGGTACCTTGCTTACCTGACGAGCATGTGCCAAGGGAGCTGGAAGGGCTGGCCGGACATGCCGCCGTAGACCACCACACGCCCACCCACATCGAGCGCCTGCGTCAGCTTGGCAGTGCTCGTGCTGCCCAACACGCAGTCCAGAGCCATCTTGGGCAGAGCCGCACCCTGCAGTCAGTGCAATCAGACAATGAGAGGGAGTTGGGTTGGTGCCTTGCCTTGCTCACTCACTGACCTCAGCGAGCAGTCTGTGTCTGATGGGGTCATCTTCGGCGAACACACGATTGGCGCCCAGCTCGTGAAGATGCTCAACCAGCGTCTCGAACGACGACTCGCTGTGACGACTGCACACACACCACACCACACATCCAAATGAATTCGCATCCGCGACTGTGTGTGCGTGTGAGTGTGGGTGTGGGTGTGGGTGGGGTACCGACCGTACCGGATGACGGCAATGGGTCTGAAGCCGATGAGTTTGGCGAGCTGGATGACCAGCTGCCCCACCAGCCCGTTGGCTCCGTTGACGACCACGCCGTCGCCGGGCTGCAGGCTCTCGGAACACAGGTCCACCAGACGGTAAGCTGCACACACACACACATGGAGAAACAGAGATTCGCGCGTGCGCGTGGGCGTGTGTGTGCCCGCAGCTTACCGAGGTATAGTTCCTTTGCGAGTGCGGCATATTCGATGGGGATGAGTTCCTGGGGTATCTTCAGGAGGTCCCTCTCGCGCCACACGGCCGCCACCTGCCAAGTCCCCAGGGTGTCCTTCAGAGGCACCACCCAATCGCCCTCGCGCAAATCCTTCACACCGGGGCCGACCTTCTCAACCACAGCCACACCCTCTGCACACACACACACACAGATTGGTTTTTTGGGTGCGGCGGAGGGCGCGGAAGGCTCACCAGAGCCGAGGATGGTGCGGTCTCCGGCGATTGTGCCGTAGTTGTAGGCGGCACTGGTGTGGCCGAGTGGGAGGGCGCTTGTTGTGCTGTCCTGGTGCCAGCTGCGCAACACGTCCTCGCCAGCACTGATGCGATTCATCCACACCACCAGCCACACACACACATGAGATGAGATGAGCACATCACTACACTCAGAGAGGCCTGGCCTTGCCTTCTGTCTGTCTCTCCCTTCCTTACGCCATGAGAGTGATGTCATAGGGGTTGACGGCCGCATATCTGATGTTGACGAGCACCTCGCCCCACTCCAGCTCGGGCCTCAGCTTGACCGTGATGGTCTCGCACAGCCTGGAAGGGTCGTCCATGACGTCGCTCCGCTTGCTGATCTTGATGTCCTTCCGGCGAACCACCTTCTGCGTCGCGTGCCGGCACCGGTGCGGCACCGTCTCGTAGGACGTCTTGCAGGTGCCCAGACGATCCAGAATGATGTCGTCCGTTATCAGCTGACATAACAATGGGCAGACAGACAGGAGCCAGGCAAGGCGAGACAAGGGAGCAGAGTGTGCGGTTCGAAGTGGGGACAAGTAAGGGTAGAGAGGAGAGGACGTGTGTACCGAGTCCTTCTGGTTTCTGGATCTGAGCCACTCCTGGAAGCCCTCCTCGTGGGTCTGGTCGCCCTTTGGCCGCACCAGCCGCTCGGCCACGTCGATGACGTTGGCGTCCGACGCCTTGTCGCCACCGCCGGCCTTGCCGCCCTTGCCCTTGCTGAAGCTCTCCATGAACTCCTCCTCAGCCGACCTGACCGCACGGCCGGTCTTGTCGTAGTGGGCACGGAGCTTGCCGTCAGACAACACCTGGGGGACACACAGACAGAGAGACGGAAGGGGATTGTGTGTGTGTGTGTGTGTGTGTTGGGTGGTGGCGTGGATTGTCTGGCAGTGCAGTTCCCGACCGACCTCATAGGCCTTGTTGATGTTTTGGAAGACGGTGGGGTCTCCGCCCTTGTCCGGGTGCTCCTTGACCGCCTTCTGCCGAAACGCCTGGAGGGTACACACACAACACACAACACACCACACGCAGCGCAACACGCACACACAATGCACTGCACCACATGCGAGGCGATGCAGCCTTCTCATCTCAGCCTGGCTCGTGTCTGTCTGACTGACCTTGCGGATCTCGGCGAGGGGGGCGGTTTTGTCGACGCCGAGGACGGCATAGAGGTCCAGATCTCCTTGGCCAGACATCCTATCCTCACTCACACACCTGCTTCAGTCGAGATATATGCCGCTCCTTGCTGCACAACCGCAACCACACAGGGACGAGCAGATCTGTGTGGCGGACTCGGTTTAGGCAGGGCAGGCAGGAGACTGACTGACTGACTCAGTGCGGGTGTGACAGTGTACTGTACGGGGGATGTAAGCGTTGCCACTGCCGACTGACTCACTGAGTCTGCTTTTCAGCAAGCGATGACGGGAGCCACGAGCCCTTCCCTCCGTCTACACGGCGGGCGAAGATCTGCTCTCGAGTTTTTTTCTCTCCTGCGAGCTCTTGAGGTCGCCTGCGAGCTGAGCTTGCAGAGCAGCGAAGGATCTGGGCGCCTTTATCTCCTCAGCGCTTCCTTAGACACGCCTCGGGTGCGTCTGCGCTGTGTCGCACCTTATCGCCAATTATCAACCTTCTTATCCACGTCAACGGTCGCGAGCGTTGCATGACCTCGAAGGGTGCTCGGGGGAGCGGCGCGCGAGGAGGGGCGATGGCGGGCGCCACAGCGCACACCACCCAAGTATTTGCGCGCAGGTGACGGACTGACTGACCCGCGGCCGGCCGCAGACGACAGACAAGACCCAACGAAGTATTTTCCGCCCGTCCGTCATCCTTCGGAACAGAGGAGGATGGTGTGCGGCGCGGCGCCCGGCCGCTCTCCGGCACCAGCAGAGAGGAGCCGGCATTGCGGCAAGGAGCGGCCCTCTCAGCCCGCCCACCCTGTGTGTGCTGGTGGTGGTGGTGGTGGCTGTGCGGCGGCGCCATTTAGTGCGAGCAGCAACTTGAAGAAGCGGCGGCTTCTGCAGACGGCTGGTGAGAGGCCTGCCGCCTCGCCGCCTGACCGACATGGCCGACAGACAGCCCGGAGAGGCGCGGCGGTCAGCTGTGGGGATGGGGGTGGCGGTTTGGGTGAGACGGGGGAGTCCGAGTGTCTTTCTCCAGACTATGACGACGACCGGCCGGCGAGAGCAAAAACGCGGCCTCGGCCTCGCCCGCAGAGAGGAAGAATGTGCTGCTCACCCTCGCGCCAATCCGACCCTCCCTTCCCCGTGAGATCCTACGATGACGACCAGAACGGCCTCTCTCACCGGCCATCATCCCGTGTGTGTGCTGATCATCTGCTGACGGGATCCCCCCACCGCTCCCCTGTTGCCTCCCGCCGACACACACACTCTCGGCAGCTGAAGCGACGGAGGCTGTTGTGGGTGGTGACATGTCTGCTTGGCTTGCTGCTCTGCTGGTGGCCGCCCTTCTTGGCGGCAGTGGGGGGCCAGCATAATCCAGGGCCGCCCGACGATGGCTCTGAATGGTGGGAGGGAGAGGATGGCGGAGAGGGAGAGGGCGAGGTGACGACGCCGCCCCCGATCGACTCGCAGATGTGCGTGTCGCCCCCTGCGACGAACTGCAACGCTCTCGACGGCATCGACAAGTCGCGCAATCCCTCGTACGACCTCACCTGCCCCGGCCGGGACTGCTTCAAGTCATTCTGCTGCCGATACGAGATCGACAAGGACATCCTCACCCTGCTGGAGGACGACAGTGGCGAGCAGCACGATGATGAACACGAGCACCAGCGTCAGTTCCAGCACCACCAGAGGAGGTGTCAGGAGGTGGAGGACTGCTTTGCGGTGGAGGGCGTGGCTGTGGAGCGGAACCCCAGAAGGGACGTCGAGTGCCGCGAGGGCAGCGACGGCTGTGTCGGCAGCTTCTGCTGCAGGTACGAGCTGCTAGGGAGCAATGGCGCTGCCACGGAGGCCGCAACGCCCAAGACCATCGACGGTGAGGCGAGCCAACCGAGCGAGCACCGAATCAAATCGTGTGTACATCGACCCTCCCTCCCTGTGTGTGGGGTGTGTTGTGGTGTGTGGTGTGGTGTGCAGAGGGGTTACATTTGGATGGGTCTCTCGGGTGTGACGCCAAGGCAGACACAGACCAAGACGGCACACCCGACTGCCAGGGTCAGATAACACAACACAACACAACACAACACATCACGACACAGCCACTTGAACACGGGCATGGCATCCATGTCCTCTACACATGTGCCTGCCTGCCTGCCTGTGTGACGCCAGACGGCTGTCCGCTGGACCCTGTCAAAGTGGAGGGCGGCAGGTGCGGCTGCGGACACGACGACTTCGACCCCAAATGCGGATGGCAACGTACGCAACACCCACACACACCCTCCCTCCCAAGACACCCCTTCCAACGCCCTTGCTCCTCTCCTCTGCTCTCGTGTGTGTGCCCACAGCTGCCCTCGGCGCCTGTTTTGACGGAGGTCGTGACTACGGAGGCGACTACGTCCCGCAGTACCACCCCGTGGGCGCGTGGAGCCCCCCCCTGTCCGGCAGGGTCCCCTCCTCGCCAGAGGAGTGCCAGGAGGAGTGCCGGCAGCACCCATCCTGCCTCTCCTTCTCCTTCTCCTTCACCACCACCCACGGGTGCTTCCTCAAAGCCGACCCCGCCAGCAACGCCACCGAGAATGCCGCTGTGGTGTCCGGCCCCAAGAAGTGCACCGGGGCGGGCCACGCCTTCCAGTGCCCCTCGTCCATCCCCAATGGCTGGTGCCAGCAGCTCTGCGAGAAGACCCCGGGGGGCGTGCGGTGCAAGTGTGTGTGCATCTGCGAGAAGGGCTACCAGCTGTCGCTGTCGTCGGTGTCGTCGGTGGAGGGCGGGGACACACAGGATCCTGACCATGACTCTTCCTCCACTGTGTCGGCTCTGGGACGCCTGGACGGCTTGGAGTGGCCGTCATACCGCCGTCGAGGGCTCGGCGAGGCGGCTGGGGGCGGGGGCGGTGTTGCCGTGTCGCGTGCCTGCGTCGGTAAGTCGGGGAAGGTGGGCGTGATTGGTTTACTTAGTGTGCTGTGCTGTGCTGTGTTGCCTTGTGGTGTTTTGCCTTGGCTTACTTCCTGGGTGACATGCCATGCCCCACAGATGTGGACGAGTGCGCGTTGGGGTCGTCTTGGTGCAGCGGTGGCTGCAACAATACCAAGGGAGGCTACGACTGCTACTGCGACCCGCCACTGCTCCTCGACAGCGACGGCAAGACCTGCAAAGGTCGGTCACACAACACAACACGAACCACACACTGACTGACTGACTGACACATACGCAACACAACACAACACCCACAATGGCAGCCATCCGTCCTCTGCCTGCCGTCTTGATGCTCGTGTGTGTGTGGTTTGCAGATCCAGAGGGCTCACAGGAAAGGGACCCCCCCACCACCCATCAAGACAGCAACGACACAGGGAGGAGCGGTGCAGCCGAGCTGGAGTCAGAGGACCCACCCCCCCAGCTGTCCTCCCCCGACCCCCCCTCGCCCCCCGCTCCCGCCTCACCCCATGTGTCAAGCGTCCA